TCAAAAATTTAATGAGCTGATGCGAATGGAGGAGACATGCACGATCAAATCGGTTTTGCTTTCATTGGAGTGGTGATGGATTCTGGATGTGGGCTCTGAGTGAGTCATCGAGGTCTGGATTAGTTTGTGGACAAGCTTGTGGACAAACTTCTGCTAGTCCTCATGGCTGACATCTGGGCGTTTGGCGTGAGCTTTCGCCCATTCATAGCCGGTAAAAGTCAGAGAGGAACTTAGGATGGCAAAGCTGAGGCGGGGGAAAAAGCCACGGTAGACACCCCGCAGGCCTTCGTGGCGTATGGTCCATTGCAGAATGGTCAGAAACCCTTTGCTAAGGGGTCGGGTGACAGCGTCGATAGGCACGGCGCATATGGGTGAGTGAGGACATTTGTAGTTGGTCGGGAAGGCAAGCAGTCAGGGTCAAGGGTGTGTACCGAAGAAGACGGGCATCGTGGGGGTTGGACCAATCCATGGCTTGTTGACGCGTCTTGGCAACGTCGAGAGGGTTGGTGAGCAAGACTGAAACGCAGCCAGCTGCACCACCAGCAAGCAAGTGAATGATGGGCTGCTCATCAATCAAAGGCCAAAGGCGCTTGAGTGAAGGCTGCAAGTGAGGGCTAAGGTAGTGCTTGGTGTGTTCATAAGTGGCAAACCAGATGGCTGATGCTGGTGCAAACGTGGCAATGGAGCCCCCCAGCCCGCGGTAGAAGCCTGTGCAAAGGGTTGCCGTGAGGGTAGCGGCGATGCAAGGGGCTAAGTGGCAAAGCAGGTGGTTCCAAGGAGAGCACACGCGCGCGAGGGAAGTTGGTGAGCCAGATGCCAAGTCACAGACCTAGGAAGCCTTCTTGGCGATAAATGCCTCGCACCACATCACGTAGAGTGGCACTACGTGGGTGAGACTGGTCTGCGTAGAGGGGCCTTTGAAGAGAGGCCACCATTTGCTTTTGAGCAATGCAATCAGCTGGGGTGTGCACGACAAGGGCAACAACGTCCCCCAGAAACCCGGCTGCCCCGCTAATTAGCCAACGAGACCAAGCAGACAGGGGCCTATCGCCATCTGTCGTCTGGCGGTGCTCAAGACTTGAGGAAGCCCGGGCAGGCCGATCAAGGACACGCGTCCAGGTTTGGAGGCGCTCGCGAGCGAGCTCATAAGTCGCGAAAAAGGAAACCTGTCCAGGAAAGGCGGCAGCAGAGTTGACGAGGCACCCTCGGTAAAAGCCACGCAGACCCTCGCGCTGCCACAGGTTTCGGGTGAGCCAGCTTATACTGCGCGTCTGGCCCTGCAGAGGCAAATCAAATTGCTGGCGGGTTTTGATTAGGTCCACGGGATAAAGCAGAACATCGAGGGACACGAGAAAGGTGCCCGAGTAAAGAATGTATTTGCTCCCATCAAGCTGTTGCCAGGTCAGATCCTCCATGTCGGCGGTTGGTCCTTCGACAAGGTGCCATCGGGGCGCGTGCAGGAGGGCCAGGCACTGAGGAGGCTGCTCCAAGTCAGGCACACGGCCGGGGTGCAAATAGGCTGACTCGCTTTGTGATGCGGCTGTAGGCGTTATTGCCGTTGCTTCTGAGCCACCGCGGCGCGCTGAGCCAGTCCTCAGAACCAGCTTTCAGACATTGCTCGCTCGAGTGCAAGGGGTCGGCAAAGCTTGTCCAGGCAAACAAACTGGGGAGGTGTTGCCAGTGGTGCGAAGCAAATGACCAACGTAGTTCTGAACCTGTACAAGGAGGAGTGGTATGCAAAAATGGTCAAGGCCACGCTCATCCAACACACGCGGTCGAGCGCGCGCTGCCTGCGATGGAGGTGTGTGTGTGTGTGTGTGTGTGTGTGTGTGTGTGTGTGTGTGTGTGTGTGTGTGTGTGTGTGTGTGTGTGTGTGTGTGTATGTGTGTGAAAGGACGCTGTTGTTGCATCTGCCTTTCACACGGACGTTTGACTTCTCTGCTGCGACATAAAAAGTATGACATTAATTGTCATCATCATCATCACCATCATCAAAATTAAATTTTCTCTCCCTCTCTCCTTTTTTTTTAATGAAAAGGTGGTGGTGGTGATGGCTGGCTGAATGGGGCCTCGGCTGGGTGTGGTCTAGAATGTCAAGTGCTTGAGTACAACAAGTGGGCAAGACGGTGCACGGCTGGTCTCAGAGGAGGCACTGTCGACGATGGCGATGGATCCAGAAACAACAGCGACACGAACGCCGCAGACCATGCTGCCGCTTTTGCTGTCGTATCGACGATTGTTTCCGGCCTTTCGCGTTATGGACCTCAGCCCCTGGCTCCGTCCTCTGTTCATCCTTCTGCTTGGTCAGTCAATGGGACATTGGCCTTTGGCAGCGCTTTGAAGTCGCATGGTGGTTGTTCCATGGGTCTATCGTGTCGTGCAGACGTGTGCCTCACGATGCTTTGAATACCCCTCTCACGTGATGTGCAGTCGGCAGCACGGTCCGGCTCGAGGCGTGAGTGAATAGCCCGAGGCGTACCCACACTTATTGCACCCTTGTCCACTGCGTGACCCCTTGACCCTTACCTCGTCCTTTCAGTGCCTATCTGGAGCGCTTACAGGAAAATGCCAAGTTCTTTAGCCACCTCTCGACGACCGAGCGAGAGACTGCCATGTGGTCAGAGCAGGTACGCATCAGCAGCACCAGCGGGCTTGGGTCCTGTCATTCTTTTTGTGTTAAGGTCGCTGCGTGCAAAATCCACCATGATCGCCTGAAGCTCGGATAGCACATTTCTCAAGCATGGCTTGCTCCGTTGTTCATAGTCCATGTACTATTCGTATTTCAAGCGCAGCGTGACGATGTTCCGGGACGGCTCTTCCTGGGCGCAGGTTGCACAGGTTGGTTCGCTTTCTCCAAAGCAAGCTTCACTCAGCAACGCTGTCGACGAATATGAGTTTGGTTTCATTTGACCCCGCTGGTGTCTGAGGCAGAGATTCACCGTAGACGAGACCATCGAATATCCAGACGCGATCAACGCGCTCAACCGTTTTAACATTTATCCTGAGCTAGCACTGGCGCGGCTTTATTCACTTTTGGAACGCGTGCGTCAACGACTCTCTGTCCCTTTTGTCTTCTTTCTCTTCTTCAGGACACCTTGGTTCTGCCTTTTCTCATGCCATCGCGCTTCTTTGGCCTTGTTCACATCGTCATTATGCGCCATCCCGCCGCCCAGTCTTATGAGGAGGTCGCCTCGCCCGTGTGCACAACTGGTGCGTTGCTTCAGCCTCATCGCACTGTATTTACAAAATCACAGTCTAACCAGGTTTGCAACACACCCCGACCTCCTCCTTTTCAGTCATGCGAGCTGCCCCATTGGAGCCTGTAATGGCCTGCAGCGGCTGGCTCAATGCAGAATACTTTTACTCTCGTGTGAGTGTGTGCTCGTGAAACTTACTTTTGGCGCACCGGCCAATTCTTGTCCAGCACACCCTTCAGGCTTTGCCAAGGCGCCTTCTCCCTTCTGATGCGCCTAACCCTTCGCGACTCGATACTCAGATTGCCCACCAGTCATTACTCATCCAGCCTCCTGTTTTCTTGGGCACCGGGCCGGGTGTGAATAGATGGTGTTCCTGATGCAGGGCGCAGGCCTGGGGGCGATGGTTTACATGACTTACCACGTTTCCCACAATGCCCTTGCCGCGATGCTCGTCGCTCTTTTTGCTTTTTACAACCATAACGAGGTACCTTTTTCAACGCTCGGGCTGCCGGCATTTTGATGTCAATTCCATTCCGCCTGTTACTGATGCATTTTCCTCTGTGCAATGTTCGCCCGTCCACTCTACACTTGCACCTTTGCATAGATGACGCGCGCACAATGGATGCCTTCGCTTCGCGAAGCTTTTGGCGTTCCATTGCTGCTATGGCAGCATCTCTTTGTCGTCGCCGCGACTCATGCGTTGGTCTTCCATGTCTCCGCTCTTGCCTTTGCTCCGATGCTTGAATCAATACTCGAGGCTGTCTCACTCATCTCGAACGCATATGTTTAGCAAGCGCCGCGCCGTTCTGCAAAATGGACTGCTGCAGCTGGCTCTTGGGATTACCACCTTCCTTGCGTTGCTGGCTTGGCAGTTTGCCCCCTTTGCCCTTTTCACTCAACTTGGAGCACTGCTGGCGACGTACCTTTGTGGGTATCTACGCCTGCGCGTTCTTGCCCGCATGGCATTTGTTCAGGTTCGATGATTGTCCCTGCATGGACAGCCGGCATACCCTCCTGGAAAGGCCCTTTCGCTCATTTCGAGGGTTGATCTTTCCTTTCTACATCACAAATGCACAGTTGCTTGCGACCTTGGGAGCCGTTGTGGCCATGTATCAGCAAGAGTCTTTGGTCGTCAGCCCGTATCTCTTGACTCTCCTCGGTGCGCTCCTGCTGCTCAATTGTGCACTTTTCAAGCTGGCAGTGCATTTTGCTGTTTGCATGGCAGTCAGCCCCACTCATGCCTTGTGCCCTGGTATAGCATTGCCCTTTGCGGTATTGCTGGAGCGTTTTGTGGACGCAAATCAGATGTCGGGCCGCTTCCTGCTTGTGGTTGTGCTCGGACTGGTTGGTCGGCGAGGCCCTCTGCACCCGTTTTGATGCCCTGCTTTTCCTGCCCCATCGTGTTGCCCACCCGATCAATGCTCTCACCGCGTACTGGCTTGGTTTCACTCAGGCGGTGGTTCTCGGCAAGCTGGGCATTCAATTCATGACCAACTTGGGTGCTGATGTAAGGCCTTGACATCAGCAGAGCTTGGCGCACAGCAGGAAATCACTTTGCCTTGCTCTGTCAGTCGCACATCTTTCACATCTTAGGCACCAAGCTATTCGGATTGCCAGCAAACTTTGATGCGCAGCTGTACCTCTGCGCGCCCGAATTCAGATTTCTCAACGAGGTGAATCGCCTCTTCAAAAGTGGGCAGGCACTCGACGCTACTGCCTTTTGCAATCATTTTGCGCACGGTCAAGACAGTTTCTACTTTGATGTCCTGAATAATCCGATGGCCTGAGTTGGGGAGTCATTTCTTCCAGTAGTCTCACATTTAAAATCCTTGGGTTGGTGCATGGTGTGGTAGGAATATACGACGCTGACAAAAACTTGCCTTCTGCCTGCCGCGGGACTTGTGGTGACGGCGGTGGGCTTGCTGGTTTGTGATGCACCGCTTGTGCTAAGGCGGTGAGGTGATTTTATATTGTTGCCACGTTCACTGCCACCACTGTGTGTGTGTGTGTGTGTGTTGTGTATGGGGGAAACAATGGGCGCTAGATGTTGCAAACACCGCCATCGGATCGCTCTCGGAGCAACACATCCATCGTCTACTTGACGATGCAGACCATCGCATATAGCTTGCTTGCCGTATTAGTGATGCGGCTCAAGGCACTCATGACTCCTTTCTTGATTGTTATGGCAAGCCTGCTGGGTTCAGTGACGGTGGGTGACTCTTGGCTTTGCTAACAAGCGTCATTTTGAGCTCTTGGTTACATGACCTGTTGTGTCGATGAACCGTGTGCTCCTCCCTTTGCCGCAGTTTTTTGCTCCTCTCTTGCGGTTGCTGCGGATCAAGAGGGACCATGTTGTCATCTTTGTGCACGCCCTCTTCTTGGTGACACTGGTTGCAGGTGCGTTTAGAGAGATTAGGCCGAATCGTTCAAGTGCAGATTTTGTCCCTACCAGTTCCAAGAGGGTTTTTTTTTTTTTTTTTTTTTTTTTTTTTTTTTTTTTTTTTTTTTTTTTTGTGAGAAGTCGTGCGGGCGCCGTCACGGGCGCGCCTTTGCTGACGTTGTCCTTTGGGTGCCGATGTAGTGGCAAGCCAGGCGGGTCTAGCCAATGTGTATCAAAATGTGACCCACAAAGGGGAATTCCAACACCCCCATCTCACCGAGTTGGTGGAGCACGTTCAAAAGCACCTCAAGCCTGAGATGACGATCCTGGCTGGCCCCATGTCGGTGCTACCCATCCTGCATAGTACGGCTGGTATTCGGACGGTTAACCACCCACATTATGAGAATGCCGAGCTGCGACGGCGCACACATTTACTTTATCAGATGCTAGCTCTTCGGAGTGATTCAGAAATGCACACGGCTGTTGCACAATATGGCGCAACCCATCTCCTTCTGCATAGGGACCATTGTGCCGCAGGTACCAGGTGAGTCAGCTCGAAGCACCACTCGAGACTGCACATGCCCATCAGGCTCGAGGATTATTGTTGCCTGGACTTTGTGAAATGCACTCAATCTAGCCATGAATTGGCCATCTTGCTTGGACGGTGCGTAGCTCGGGCGCGTGTGGTGTCCAATCCTATTACACTCCAAGTTTGGGCGTGACTGAACCGTTTTGTGTGCGCTGGCTGCGCCGGCAACAAGCAAATGGTTTTTTTCGCATCGCCTTTCGCAACGAGCACTTCACGGTATGGCTTGTGCGACGCGCGCCCTCAAAGCACCAGGCCCTGTCCTTCTCACTGTATTGGCTTTTCCGCCTCCACTCCCTTGCCCCCAATCTTCCCAGCTGTTGCAACTTCAATGACTTCTTTGCGCATGATGAGGTTAGATTTTTGTAGATTTCACATCCGCATGCTGACAATTGAATCATACGCGAAAGACACACACACACACACACACACACACACACACACACACACACACACACACACACACACACACACACATCACATCATCTTTCACATCAACATCAATGTTTTCACATCAACAATGGGAGCAGATCAAAAGATGAAAAAACAAAAAACAAGTGGCAGCACCGAGATTCTCCTGTCTGTGATCGTTATTCAAGCTCAAGCAGTGGCTTGTTCAGCCATGACCGGGCAGGCGGGGTGCCCCGGTCTGGGCCATTTTTTAGGCAGACGTAGCACTCTCCACAGCGCACTTCACCATGTTGCGGTTGAACACCGGCAGGCATGGCGTTGGCTCAGCCCAGCACGGGACATTGGCCCGGGCCCAAAACACGGGCGGTCGAGACGAGCAGAGCTCAATACTGACACACTCGTTGGCCAGTCTACCTATGCAGGATCCGGTCACTTCGCTCATGCAGTGCATAGCTGGAGCCCAGGATGCTTCCAGCCCGCCCATCTGGTCTGGTGACCATTTGCCTTTTGGTGAAGAGAACGCTGACTTGCCGCCTTTCCTCAGCTTTCCTTTTGAGAATGACGATTTGGCGGACACCTTACTATCCGAGCAAGACATGTTACAAGCGACTCTGGAGCCACCGCAGCTTAATTATCAGGGAGTGCGCAACTCTGACATTGTGCCCAGCCAACATCAACTGGGCAACGAATCAGCTGATGCCAGCCGTCTTTTCTACCCCGCCTCTCCCACTTTGCCACCGCAATTGACCACGCCATCACCCAAGGATACGCTGGCGAGTGAGAGTCCTTCCACGTTTGAGGGGGCTGCGTGCCTCCAGGCCAGGCTGCCCTGCACAATTCGCACCGCCGCCAATGCGGGCATGCACGTGGGAACGACCTTGACAGATGGCGCTGGCACCGTGTCAGCCGAAGCCAACAGTGGGACCACCAGCTCACGGGGCATTTGCCGAGAGTTGCAGGCTGCTGCAGTGCCCGCTAGGCGAAGACTTGCAAAGCGTTCTTGGGTTGACAAAAACGAGACGGCAGCAGTTGCAATGCCAAAGCCCTGTAGGTCGCTTCTCACGCGATGTCGGCATGAAGAGCCCGTGCTTCAAGTTCCAGACAACATTCAGATAACTCGCAGTTTTGTGGTGCGGGTCAACCTTCCTGCACATCTCCCAACAGACTTGGAGGTAAGGCAAGCGTCGCTGGCAATTGTGGCAGCTTGCCCCCCCCACTTGTGCTCACCTCCATGTATGCTACTGGATGAATCCAGGTGATGGGGTTCAGCGCGAATGGCCAACGAACGCATGCCATGCCCCTGGAATCATTGGTGATTTTGCTCTCCAGCCCAGCGCTCGCTCACGAAGTGTACTACTTGCAACTCGGCGCCATTTATGAGGCCGAGTCTGAGTCCCCTCCTCGCACTCGGAGTAAGGGCCGGGTGGAGAAGCACAAAGTGGCTGCTCGCACCACCGACCCACAGGAGGAAGTGGATACACACATTTGGCACATTGCAAACACACACGCCGCAAGGCACGAAACCGGTGCGTGCTTGACAGCAAGTTTTGGTGACGCAAACTCATCGCATCTCTTGCCAGCTGCACACAAATTCTCTTTATCCGTGCAAACCATCAATGACTGGCTGGTGTGGTTGTAGAGGCAGAGGAGCATGCCGTAGTTCGGCTGACCGCCAACACCCTGGCCTCGGTGACACTTTATCCCATCGTTACTGGGCAGCGCGTTGAGGTCCCCACGCGCTCCTCCAAACGGTGCATTGGAACCAGAGCCGATGTAGCAGCCAACTGCAGCAAAAAAAAAGAGGATACAGATGCAGAGCCCACTTTGGTGCTGGAGGCACAAGTGACGTTGGTGGGTCGCCTGTCAAAACGCCTTTCGACCCCGGCACGCCTCGTGGCAGCGTGGCAGCGCGCCTCGCTAAATCATCAGGTCTGTATTTAGAACGTATCTGGTGCGACATGATGTCCTGAGTTGTGAGACTGAGGCAGTGCCAACTCCCATAGGTTCTGGCGCGTACTGGCCGCAGCCATCATGAACTTGCGTCGCTTTCAGCAGTTTCGGTACGATTCCCCTTGCTTCGCGCATCATGACGCACGAGCAGCAGATCATGCGCCACCTTTGATGCCGGCTGCGTTTCCCTGACAGGGTCCAACCTTGGTGCATGGCAAAAACTGGGCTTGCCGAACGCAACGACGGCGCAAACGTTGAGTATCGAGTTGCTGTTTGGAAACCGGGCGCTTGGACAATGTCGTAAATGAACGGCAATGGCTTTGTGAACACAGACGATATAAGCATTTGAGAAAAATGGAATGAGTTTTCGTGCAGTCAATTGATGAGGTTCATCAGTTGGATGTCCACGGCAACATCCGCTTAGAACTTGGAGAACTTCTTGCTACCACCGCTGTTCTTAGCAATGCGCAGCACGTTGAATCGCACGGTCTAATAATGATATCAGGGTAGATCCGAGGCCAAGCCGGTGAGATTGAACGAAAATGAGTTAATCACAAGCGCAAACACAACAAGAGGCTGCCTCTTAGTTTCTTTTTGGGAAAGGAAATCAGCAAACCAAAGAAATAGAAACAAGATAAAGAAGCGTACCTTGGAGAGAGGGCGGCACTGGCCCACGGTGACCTGGTCGCCAACGGCGATATCACGGAAGCAAGGCGACACGTGGACGGGCAGGGTCTTGTGGCGCTTCTCGAAACGGTTGTACTTCTTGATGTAGTGCAAGTAGTCACGGCGGATGATACCCGTCCTGCAAAAGATTGGATCAACAAGACAAACATGAGAACCATCAGCCACCTGCACTCAATGATGTCAAACTGTCGACCCGGCTCGGCTGGATGGCCTTTTCTGAAAAGTCACGAGAACCGCAGAACTGAGAAAGTGGGCCGAGCCAAGGGTGAAGAGGGGAAGTTTACCTCTGCATCTTCAGGGTCTTCACAACACCAGTGAGCAGACGGCCGCGGATGCTGACATCGCCGGTCCAGGGGCACTTCTTGTCAATGTACTTGAGCTCACGAGCCTGAGAGCCAAAGAAAATCGCGGACACAATGCACACGAATGAGCTTTCTCATTGGACATGGAGCCAGTGACTCGCAGCACGGAAAGCATGCCAAGACATCGATGCACAAGCTGCCAAAAATGTACGACAACATCTTCTGGAAACAGAATTCAATGCAAGGCTTCCAAATACCCACCTCCTTGGGAGTCTTGAAGCCAAGACCAACGCTCTTGACAAAGCGGAGGTCCTGCGACTTGGCGCGCTGGCCGAGAACACGCTTCTTGTTCTCGAAGATGGGCTTCTGCTTGAGGTAAGAACGCTCCGACTGCGCACCCGTGACATCCATGGCGACTGCAGGGAAGCATGAAACAATAAAAAAACCACGTGAATGCTTCACAATGATTTTTGGACGAATCAACGATGCTTGGGACTGCGGCAACCAGCCAGCTGAGCTAGAGAACGATGCTCTCTGGCCCTGCCCAATAAACACGAGCATTCGGAACAACAAAACTCAATCCCGAGGTCTGCCATCAACACGCCGAGGGCTGTGGGAGAAGCCCCTTGACGAGCATCGAGCCAAGGGGCTCAAAGGGCATGTGGTCTGTGCTGGGCCGTCGTGACAGAGCCTGACACGTCCGAGGCTCACTGGCTGCCACGGGAGCAGTACCACAGCGTGTGCAGCGCTCCACGTCTTGATCGCAGAGGGATGGTAGCCCCGACAGCCCGCCCCGACCCCGAGCTCGTGGTCCCATTTTCGCTGAGCGACGCGTCGTTCTGTGTGCGCCATCGTGTACTCACCGGTCGAGGGTAAAAAAAGGCTGACCTTAAGGTTCAAATCTCCTCAGATTCTTGAGATTGGCCAGTCTCTACAGAGACTCGCAAAGACTGCTGACAACATGTGAGGCCCGATTCAAACTGTCAGCAACAGCCGTTGTAAACAGCATTTATTCTTTTCCTTTTTCTCTTTGTTTCTTTCCTTTTCTTTCCTTTCCTTTCCTTTTTGTGTGTGTGTGTGTGTGGGAAATTAATTTTCAATTCTGTCTGTGTGAGTGTGTTTATTTGGGCGCTAGGTGTTGACGGCAAGACCACGAGCCATGTCCACGGCGAAGCGGCAGGCAGACCGTCAGCTGACGGCTGACAACAACGAGGATAGCGATGACGGGGCGAACAGCTCTGGCTTGTTCCAAAAGGCTTCCTCTGAAACCTTGGCCAAGCGCAAGTGAGGCGACTGCATTTCCTTTCCTTTCCTGGCTGAGGCCCCGCGGGCTACCGATCAATGAGTGGCCTGCTTCCCGTTCGCTCATGTCGTACTTGGGGTGATGATGTAGGATTGTGTCAGCCAAGCGCAATTCAAGTACAACCAGCTCACCGGTATGAAGTTTATGTCCCGCCCTTGACGTCTGCGGCGAGTGGGTCCTCAGTGAGCAAAGCAAAGGCACCCCGACTGACCAGCTGCGGCGTTCGCCCGGATTTTGTCATCCTAGAATCCCTTGGCAGCTTTCAAGGGGTTTGGTTCCTCAGGCACAGATCTCAAGTCCAACCTGTCAGGCTTCAAGGCCCCCAGTAAGTGAGGCGGTGCCTCAGGCAGGTGGAGGCTTTTTGGCTTTCAAGAGTCAGTTCGAGAGTTGATAAGAATGGAGCTCATGCGTCCCGGTGCGGGGGTACACAGGCGACTCGGCTGGCTCCCCTTTTGGCAAGTCTGCGACAGCGGGTAGCGGTGATGCGCGCACTCCCTTTTCAGGAGGTGCAAGCAAGGGCGGCTTTTCTTTTGGCAACAAGACAGACAGCAGCAAGACGGCCTCGCCCTTTGCCGGATTTGGTGCCAAATCGGCCGGCTCAGAGTCAAGCTCAACTCCGGCGTCCCCCTTTGGCCAAGGTGCCAAGACATCAGGCTTCAAGTTCGGCAGTAGTGCATCCGACTCGCCAAGCACTACCACCAAGCCAGTCTTTGGGGGTGCATCGACGTCAGACCCCAAGAAAAGTGGTTTTGGCGGTTTTGGCGGTTTTGGTGGCTTTGGTGCCAAGAAGGTGGGGTTATATCTGCAAGTGCTCAGTGCGAGCTGGCGTGCACGTTCAGGGGTGTGCCTTCCGTCTTGTTGTATCTGTGTTTGATATTTTGTTGAGAGCGGCTCACCCGACACCACCCTTGTGACCAGGATGACCAAAAGAAGGAGACCCAGGAGGCCAGCAAGGACGAGGATGAGGACGAAGAGGTTGCGCAAGTGGACGATGAAGGCGACGACGACGACGCCGGCGCGGCTGAGGATGACAATGGCGGTGACGAGGGCGATGATCACGACAATAGCAACGATGACAATGACGACGACGACAACGACGACGATGACGATGATGATGATGATGATGATGATGATGATGATGACGACGATGATGATGATTCCAAACCGGCACCCAAGCTCTCATTCGCCCCTTCATCGACTGGAACTGGCTTTGGTGGGTTTGGCGCCAAGCCCGCCACAAGTACAAGCTCGGCTTCATTGTCGTTTGGCAACAAAAGCACGCCCTTCGGGGGGTCGAGTGGCGCAGGACTCGCCGCCAGCAAACCTGTTTCTTTTGGAATCCCACCAGCAGCGGTTAAACCCGCTGAATCGGCATCTACCTCAAGCAGTTTGGCGTCCGCCTCAGGTAGCAAGGCGTCGCTTGCGAGCCAGTCGCTCTCATCGCCCAAGGTTGCGCTACCTCACCGCTTGTTGGTGCCGCGCCGCGCGTCGTGCGCCCCCCGTCCAATGTAGGCTGGCGCGAGGATCAACTTGGCAAGCTCAAGGCACTGAACACTGCTTTTTTGAAACATGTGACGGCCGAGGTGGGTCCCGTATCGCCCATTGTCCGATTATGCCTCTTTTGTGTTTCTCATCACGAAGGGGATTCGTGTGCCCCAACCTTAAATGCGTGTAGCTTGCCCAACCGGGTGCCGTGGATTTGACTCCTGTTCTGGATGATTACAAGAAACATCTGAGCACAATTCGTAGTAGCTCGGCGCCCGCTGCGAGTGCCAAGCCCGATGTCCAGCCGAGTGCCACCAGCGCAGGCACTGATGCGAATAAGCCTACAGCCAGCGAGGCGAAAACGGGTGATGCTGCCAAGGAAGACTTGCCCGATGAAGGCGAAACGCTTCACAGCGTGCGGTGCGTTTCACTCAACTGGTCGTGCTCATCCAGATTCATTCGCTTGCTCACCGTCCAAATTGCCTGTTGTATCCCCATGGACCGTTCACAGTGCCAAGCTGTTTTACAAAGTCAAAGATGCGTGGAAAGATTCGGGTACAGGCACGCTGCGCGTGTTGAAGGAATCGGATACGAAGAAAATTCGCCTCATCATTCGCGAGGATGAGGGATCGCGGTGAGTTTGGCAACGGTCTTGCGAGGGGGTTTCGTGCCAAGTGCTCACCACTCTTTGTTCGCCCGAGCAGAAAAATTCGCCTGAACGTCTATCTTCAAAAGGATTTGCCAGTGCTGGATGCGCAGAAGAACACGGTTTGTTGCGTTGTTCTGGACATATTACTTGGTCTTGGCCCTCATTGCCAGCAGGCAAGAGCGGTGTTCGAGGTTGACCCAACTCACACCCTGCCTCCTCATGATTTTTTAAATCTCTTCCTCGCATAGGTCATGTTGACGTTGGTTCCCAACCCGCCTTTGGAGCCGGAAAAGAAGGATCCGGAAGCAGATTCCGCTTCCGGTCCAGTGCCAGCCCTTCTCAAAGTCAAGACGCCCGTCTTTGCTCAAAACTTGGCCAAGAAACTCAAGGAGCTCCAGGCCTCTTTGTAATCAGCCACGAGAAAGGTCAAAACTCGAAATTGAATTCTGGGCATGGCATATGGGTTGGAAACGTCATGATTTGCAATGTTAAAATCAAACTCTTTTGGCTCGGTTCTGCTTCATCCTGTATCAGCGTTCATGGCTGGACTTGTGTGGCCTAGTTCCCGTTGGTGCAAACCCTTGAGTGAATCCACAACGGGCTCGAGGGCAGGGTCTTGAGCAGCGCGCATAGCGGTCTTTCCCATCCAAATCAAGCCAAGGCAGGAATGTAAGGTTTATGGGGCAAACTATGCCGTGCGAATATACATGCAGCCATGCAGCAACCAACGGCGACTCACCATAACCTCCTGCACATTCGAACTGTCAACGAAGTTGCCTGATACCTGAACCAGAAAATAAAACAAAAAAAACCAAGGGGTCGGGGCGACAGCCAATGTTTGTCAGCTGCGCGGCAAAACATGCTTGCATGATTCGGCCTGAAGCTTCAAGGGATTAAGCAAACCAGCCGACGGACCGCAATGGTATCGGTCAAGTTGGTGACGGTATGTGGACTTCCACCCGGAACAAAGAGGAGATCACCGGCACGCAGGACACAGCGCATAGGTGTTGCATATTGCACGGCAGGGGTCTCTGGCTCATCGGGGCGACGAACATCAGCCTGCCAGCAGGTTACGAAAGAAGGCATGACGAAAAGATTGGTCGCGGAGGAGTGAAACACGCAAGTGCAAGCGCAGGAAACGGGAGCTTGCGGCATGGATACTACCTCAAAGATGGGTTCAGCTGAGGCGCTGTAGTCTGGATAGAGCAGGGGGAGCTGAGCGGGTGGTAGAAAAATCCATTCCTTCTCGCCCGACATCATGGCCATATAAAAGTGTGTGCCAAAGACGTCCACATGCCACGCGCTGCTGACGTGTTTGGGGCCAATGAATAAGCTGGGCCAAGCTGCTTGATATCGCTGCCCGGCTGGCTGTTGAGTCAGATAGTCGTTGTCGACCCATTTGGGCATTTGTAGGCGAGCAGCCAAATCGGGGCAGTGCACAGGTAATGACCAGTCAAACAGGTAGAGATCCTGCCAAAAAGGTGCGTTGGTGATTGCGGCAGCTACCAACCGACGCGCGAGACGAGCGGGTGGAAGTAAAAGAGAACCATGCACCGTACCTCTGCCTGGTGAGTAGCGAGGCGCTCAAGAAAGTCGGACACGGTGGTGTGCTGAGCATCTTCGAGCCTAGCCCAGTTGACGCTGTCGGCCATGGGTCGGCGCAGTTGAACCTGTTGGTGTTCAACCAAAAACGCGTGCACACACAGAGAGAGGGAGAGAGAGAGCGTGTGTGAGACAGAGTGAGAATGTTGAGATACTGGCAGAGGCGTTGCAAGTGGCAAAAGGCCTCACCCGCGATTCACCGGCCAACTCTCGGATCGTGTCCAAGGAGAGGAGGGAAGCGGACATTGCATACGCCCCACGCCGGATGACAACCGGGCGCCTGCGGTGTTGAGAGGCGGCAACGATGCCAAAAGTCCAGGTGTCGGATCAGCAGGAGAACGATCGACCAGCATCGGTGCAGGTGTTGGTGGACACGATGATGCAATGCGTACCGTGGTCGCACAAAACGAGCCTGAAACTCAGACACGGTCAGGTGTTCGGCCTCCACCTCGGTCACGGGGGTGTACGAGATGGCCTGGCGAGCCGAGACGGGCGTGGCGGGCGGATCAGCAAGGAGAGCTGCCCGCTGGGTCAGGGCGGCGTCTGCCAGCAACGCACGGGCAGCAACTTTAACCAGGGGTCCATCCTGAAGTGCTCCTGGCTGAAGTTGTCGAAAATTGTCGAGGATGAGGCGCGCGTCGCTGGGCTGGCGCAGGAGCAGCAGGGCGCCCAGCAAAGCCTCGAGCACCCCATTGTGTTCGCTGCGCTCCGAGCACGCGCGCTCTATTGCAGCAGCCGGTTCGGTCAGAGGTTCTGGTCTTGTCCAGGGCGCCAAGGCGTGTGTGCGCCGTACACAGGTGACGAGCAATTCGCGGCCCGCCGCGGAACGTGCAAAGCGAACCAGTCGCGTCTGTGGACAAGCGGGCTGGCTCGGGGCTGACGCCGCCCCTGCTCGGGCTGCACGACGCATGTGCCGTGCCAGCAGCACAAAGATGTCACCGGACGGAGCCCCCTCTCCATCCCCCTCTCCACAGCAGCAGCAGCGCCCCATGTTCGTTCGACCAGTCGATCGCCTTCTGTGCTGGTACTGGTGCTGGCTCCTCTCTCTCACTCCCACTTCACATTGTCAGCATGTCAGCATGTCATCTTACGCCGTTTGCGTGCATGCACGCACCGTGGAGGGTTGTCCGCCAGCCAGCAGCTGGGATGCTACAGCAGTGGAGCGGGCATGGCAAGAAGGGGCGCTGTCCGCGTGTTTCTGTCCGCAGGCAAGTCGTGTCCGCTATGCGCTCGGATGGCCAGGGCTCGCGACTGACAGGACAAGGGAAACAAGGCAGAGGGACAAAGCGAGATGTTGCCAGAATTTGTGTCCGCTTTTGCGCGCCGGACACGAAGCGATGCCTGGTAGACGGGGCAACGTCATACTGAGGCGTGAGCGGGCGGCAAGTACTGTAGCTGCCTGCTCCTCTGGCGTTGTGCCCGCTCCAGCTCTGACAAACTCAAAGCAAAACCTTGGCAGGACACAAGGACGAGCAAAACCACCCCACCGTCATGGACTTCGTCCTCATTCCACCCAAAGGCCTCTAGGTGGCTTTGACACCCAAGCCGGCTTTCCGTCCGTTTGCACGCCACAGGGCGCCTTTTGTCCGGGTGCCTAAGAGCAGGATGGCCGTTACAGCCACGTTCCCACTTGTGTTTGCTGGCCCCTCCCCACCACATTGCGTTGCTCCGTCCTGATTCCTGGCCGCCTTGGGGCTCATAAATTGGTCATCATTGCCAGCGTGCCAGAGTGACCAGTCAGCCCTGCGTTCCTGCCCCCACTCCCTCACACACACACACACACACACACACGTACCAGCAAACACTGCCCCGACGCGCGTTCAGTCGCTTGTGGCCAGGCTCGGGCAGCAGAGCCCGTCCGTCCGGCTGCATACTTTCAACGGCCACTTGGATTCTGGGCATTGCCAGCCCCCACTTTCCTACTCACACTCTCCCAACTCAACCCCCTCGCCCACCCGTGACCGGCCAAGCGAGCGAGCGCGCATGCCATCCTCATTCCCACTGCTGCCATTGTCGCCGCCGTCGCTCACGCCACTACACACTCCCCTCTCTCCTTGTTGCCAGTTGTTTTTGCTCGCCAACACCATCACAGCGCTTGCTCTCGTTGCGTTTCCTACCCACACTATTGTACGAAAGCCAAGCCCTTGACCTTGGTTGAGGCGTGACAAGCGACATTGGCATCCAGGCCACCAATCTGTTTTTCCTTCACATGCCACAGCGCCTCACCCCCTGAGTTTGGGGTCGGTGCGTTAAGACTCTGCACTCTCGACGGCCACTTGCTCTCGGCACGACCATCTCGCAACTGTGCCCGACGACCCCATTCTGCCCCCTCACTGCCCTCATCAGGTGCTACACTGCCACTTGATCGGGCCACACTCAAAGCGCCATTATCCCTGCATTTTTCCCAACTTTTTTTGAAGGAGACGCTCGTGGCGTGCGGCTGTGCTGAGCTTTCGTAACACCACGTTTTTACGCGTCTGCTCCCTGCTTGCCGTACTACCTGCACCGCAAAAAAAAAACAAAAACAAAAACACCATGGCCACCGTGGGGCCTGGCGGCTTGCAAGTCAAGCTCCAATCCAACAACGTCTGCGGCAACCCCGTGTGTCGTCGCATTGCCCCGAAGCACAAGTGTGCTCGCTGCATGTCCATCTGCTGTACGTTTGCATATTCGTTGCTTGGTTGCAGCCTCTTGGACATGTCAATGCCGCGCCAATGAGCTGCAGCCCACGAATCGCCACTCACCAATCATGCTGCTACTCCGTGACACTGGCCCCTAGACTGTAGCCGAGAATGCCAGTTGAGCCACTACAGCGTACATAAGATGCCCTGCAAGGCCATCGCCGCACAATTCCTTGGCGTTGACAACCTTCGCTTCCTGGGTTTCGAGCCTCAGGACGCTGAGGATCGCCACATCATCATGGCCATCACAACCATTGCCGAACAGCTGGAACGCACCATGCCTCTACCCTCGTGCATGGTGCACCCAGATGCACCCCTCAGCCACTTTCATGAGGGCATTTTGCCGCTCCTGCCTGCCCACAAGGTACACCCACCCCCCGTGACTATTCGCTCAACTTGCAGCCATCGCCCCCTTTTATATCCGACTCATACCACGGCCCTCTTGCCTACTTGCCGCTCTTGTAGGAGGGTGATTGCTTGATTGATGCTGATCAAACCTACGCCGGAGTTGTGCTCTCTCAGCGGCTGCTGCAAACCATGCTGTTGCGCGCCAACCTTCGCATGGGCGACGTGCTATACTCAATCACCACGCGCGATGGAGTGGCGCGTGCCGTTCTTGCCAGGGATCCCGATAGTGCCGACCGCGTCCTCATGTACACGCCCCTCATCCCCATGCTCCGCCCCAGCCAAGGCGCTGCCATGGGCTCGATATCGGTGGCGTCGCTCATTCGCTGGCGACGTTCGACCATGTGCGCCCACGCTTCGGCCTCAGACCTGACGCAGTTCACGCCGACGGAGCGCGCCTCCATCGCTCAGGAGTTGCTCTTCCTGGCCGACCAAACTGCCTTTCCCACCATGCAGCTTGCCCGCGCCATGGGTGTTCGCGGTGCATTGGTGTTGCATGTGACAGAACACAATCTCTGTTGGCAATTCCGCCCGCGCTTCTTCTTGCGTGAAATGGGCGAAGAGGTGCTGCGCGCAATCGACAACTATGATCCTGACCAGGCCATTGTGACTCTGACCATGGGCTCGATTATTTCCAGCGAGGATAATCCCACCACGGTCCTGCTTGTCAACCCGCTCCACGTGGCCCGGGCATTTCATCAGCAGGTCCTCGAGCCCAAGGTGCTTGCCAACATGCGAGCTACCTGCTATCAGTCACCGTGCCAGGCTGAATACGACATGCTGCATGCCCGTCAGTCTCAAAAGGCCGCTCATTGCTCCGACATGGGGGTGGCAATCGATGAGAGTGAGGCGTGATCCCTGCACGCGCTGATACTAGACACCGGCAAATTGTGCTGATTATTATTATTCTTTCCAACCTTTCCTTCGATGTTTGATTTCTTTCCCTTTGAGTCCGTTGTTCTTGATGGCTGTGATCATACATAGCAAGACGATGACGTTCAAGACGATGTTTCATTACCGACATGTGAGTCCTTCCTGAGGTTTTCCGTTTTTTTTTTTTTTTTAAAGATTTCCACTCGCATATCTCTGCTCGTACCGTCGTGCTCAGCATTTTTAAAAGCACAAATGCAAAAGCGACACGGAAAAAAGAAGAGCTGTTTCAAGATGGCAGTGTTGTTGACATGTGAATAGATAATGACTTTGTGATCAGCCGTGAAGGCACATTTGACATGATGACTATGCTAGTGGCAAGAAGAGAATCGCGATTATGATGATCGAGGGCGCCGCATCTGGCTCCTGAACCATGAGAGAAAAGGAGAGAATGGGCAAAGAACACCAACGATACTCGTGTCAAAACAGTCGATGCTGTCTTCAACTTTGCGCTTAATGGTTCAGCGAAGCGAAGTAGGTGCCACTGCTGTGAGCTGGATGCGTGGGGTCGCTGTGGTTGGGCATGGTACTACCAGCGCTGCTTGCACCTGTGCCATTGGTACGGTAGCCATAGCTTTGGTGACCCAAACCCAGTCCGAACGGAGCCTCTCCTTGTGCGACGTGGGTGTTCTCTTCATACGTAAAGGAATCTGAGGTCCTGGGAGGACCATACATGCCAATGCTACCTGTCGGGCGCTCGAGGCCCGGTGGAAAGCCACCGCTTCCGGCACCTAGTGTCCACATACCCGAGGTAAGAAAAACAGGCTTTCCTCCAAAACACAGTATCCCTCCTAATCGACATTCATGCAGGTAGTCAGGCCTTACCTGGCCGAAGGGGTGCTGTTGCTTCCTGAGCAGGCTGGGACGCATGTTGCGGGAGGGTTTGGTGGTCAGAGCTCGACTTGAATGGCTGATCCCGCACATGGCGGTTGAATGATGGTTCCGAAAGCAGCCCATGCGTGAAATCGGTATCAGAGTGCGCGACCTGAGCTGGGTCGATTCTCTGTGCATATGGCGCGTTAAGTGACATGGACATGGGCGTTGGCTGCTGGAATTGATGAGGCGCTGCAGCAGGTTGATGCTGCTGTTGTTGCTGTTGTCGATGTTGATAAAATTGTTGGTACTGTTGCTGTTGTTGCTGTTGATAGTGTGGTTGATAGTGTTGTTGCTGCTGCTGCGGTTGCTGCTGCTGCGGTTGCTGTTGCTGTTGTTGCTGCTGTTGTTGTTGTTGTTGTTGAAACTGCTGTTGTTGCTGCGGCTGCGGCTGCGGCTGCGGCTGCTGTTGTGGTTGCTGTTGTGGTTGCTGCTGCCGCGGTGGTTGTTGTGGCTGTGACGAAGGGGGTGACAAGTGTTGTTGAGCTTGTTGGCGAAATTGTGGCATGTGAGGCATGTTGCCAGTCAGCATAGCGTGCATTAGATGCGGCGGCATGCCCATTCCTCCAGGAGGATGCCCCATGCCCATCGCCTCTTGCATTTGCCGGAGCCACATCATTTGCTGCGTTGCAGGGCATGGAATACAAGAACAGATGTGAGCTGTCAGGCAAGGCGGCGGACACCAATTTTGCATGATCAAGAAAGAGATGTCAATACAAGTTGGTGACTTGGAGACAGACAGGCAGCCAGACAGGCAGATAGACAAACAGCCAGACAGGCAGATAGACAGATAGATAGACAGACAGATAGACAGACAGACAGAAACACACGCTCCAGCGCATGCTGACCATCATCATAGGGTTGTTCATGGCAGCCTCCATCCAAGGCATGTATCCAGGATGGTTGCCTGCAGGGCTGTCATTCTGTGTTTCTGGCTCATCTGCAGCCTGATCCTGTTGCAGCATGTTGCCCTTTGTAAAGGCATCTGCGGCATGCTCTTCCGGCAGACCCGTGCTAGCCGAAAGTGTTCCATCCTCCTGACGGACAGCATTCATGTCCACGGCACGAGTGGCCTCAGCATGGCTTGCCTCTGCGCTTGGTTCGGTCTGGTCAAGGGGCGGCCGCTCGTTCGTCCCTGTGTTTGCAGATGATTGGTGGCCAAAGCCCAAGTCTTCGCCGTGGCCCACGCTGGCCGCAAGAGGTTCAAATGGGGCCGACTCGCTTTGGGAAAGTGCTGAACCAGGGGCAGGCTCCTCCACAGCCTCATCGGCGGGGTCAGCGAAGCAAACTCGGCCCGGAAAGCCTGTCACAGCTTCATTGCCCGCTTGGAGAGCGGCTGGGTGGCCATAGTAGGCCTCAAAACGCCGCTCTTCAAAGCTAGCCGAAACATTTGATGACTGCTCGGGGTTCACTCGCTCTGGCAAGGCGTTTTCACCAGACACCACGTCCATGGGTTCGTCGTGGACATGATGATCGCCCATGTCCTCTCCGGCGACATCTGAGTTGAGTTGAGTGGGCAGCACAACTGGCTGCTCACGGCGAAAGTCGGCTGACTTGTTGTCAGCTGGAGCCCGACGTGAGGCCTTGGCGCTCAAGATGGCCGGATCATCCAGGTCGTTCAGATCGACAGTGTCTTCGTGGGTGTCTGCATTGTCGGCTGCAGTTGCTTGCGTCTCAGGCTGGTGGTTGAACCAAGGCGTTGGCATCTGGTGTAAGCATAGGCAAGGCTTGCATGAGTGCATGGTCTACAGAACGTCCCTCAAATTGACGCGCCTCACTAAAACAACCATACGTACCTCGGACAAAACGGGAGCAGGAGGACGCAATACGACCACTGGATCAGCCGGGTCTGTTTGCAGAGTGGCCTCTTGTGCCGCAGCCGCCGTCTCAGTGTTGTCTTGCCCCTTGGTTTCTGCTGGCGCTGCATGCGCCTGTGGTGCAGCGGTTCCCTGTCCTTTTGGTTCAGCACTTGCACCCTGCTCTGGCTGTTGCAAATCCTGCTCCCGATGCTCACTATCTGTGTCCGCCTGCATTGGCTCCACCTCGTCGGCTGCCGGGCGTTTAGGCACGACATCGTCCGCCGCTGCCTCCGCTTCTACCTCTGCCTCTACCGAGTGATCGTCTGCTTCACCAAGTTTAGGCACCCTTGGTCCGTTGCCAATATTTGCCAAACAAACATGTTGTGCTTGCCACGCCTGAGCCAACGCTATGGCTGGAGCTTGATCGGCATTGGCGTCGCGCAACGGTGCCAGAAGAGGGACAAAAGCGTCCGTGGCCAACTCCAGCGAAGCGGGTTCGTGGCTATCAATCGCGAGCAGAGAGGTTTGCCGTGCTGCTCCCTCGATGTCGGCTGCATTGGTGGGCAGAGTAGTGAGTGCCACCGCCACAGCCTCGAGGACCTGAGATGCATGGAAAGCATGCGCACGCATTGGATGGTGATCAAAGGGATTCATTGATGAGCAGACGGAGCAGGCCGAGCGTGATCGGCGGTTCGCGTGCATTTCATGGGCTGGGCGGACGTACCCGGCGGCAATAAGCACGTTCAAGACCAGCGACGGAAGCTTGCGTCTGTGCTTGAGCGTCCAGAACCCGAGCGCAAGTGGTCTCTAGTTGAGCCAGGAGAGAGGCGCGAAGGTGCGCGCGCTGGGCGCGAACACGCTCCTGTTGCTTAGCCTCCGAATTGATGACGTTTTCAAGACGTGTTTTAATGGAGTGCAGCTCCTGGATGAGTTGGAGAAGGCTGTCCTTGTGGGCCAGCATCTCGCGTTGGTCATCTTCAATCTGACACCCGGGGTTCTCACGCAGCCGGGCTTCCACTTGCTCTGTTTTCATCTGCAGCGTGGCAAGAAATGTTGATTAGAAGCAGCAAGGTGATGAGGAGCGGATGAGAGTGAGCAAAGAACCGTCAAGGGACTAGGGTACAGGCGGCCGGTGATGTTGTTGGACCACCGGGGACAGGGTGGCATGACGAGTCATTCTACCTTGCGCTTGTTTAGTGCACGGAGGCGCTTATGAATGATGTCAAGGCACAGCTCGGTTTGCGATGGCTCGGCTGACTCTGCCGGAGTCATGGGAGCCAAAATCTCGGCCACATGTGCCTCCAAATCGGCCAAGGGCGCGGCCAAACTGGGCCAGGCGATGGCTTCGGGCTGCACAGCAACGTCTGCTATCGGAGATGCGGGAGTATCCGTCGCGTTGGTCCCAGAAGCCTCAACAGCTGCTTCGCTCGATGAAGCCGGGGCAGCGACCGTGTCAGGTGCTTCATTCGTCTGAGAGCTTGTTGGCTCGTTGGGCAAGAGTCGTGTCGAGTCTTGTCGGGGTTGATCCGAAATCGTGGTGGTTGGAGCCGCAAACTCCACGGCTTTGTCCGTGGTGGGAACCGAAGTGGATCCATCCGCCTTGGGAGGCAAGACTGATGCCTCTCCATTGCGGCTGGTGCCGTCAGGCACCTTTTTGTTGCGCTGGTGCGGACCAGATCGCGGGGTGCGCGGTCCTTTGGCCCCATTCGTACGGGCAGGGGCGTCAGTTGGTCCTGCCTTTTCGTTGCCACCATTGCGACCATCACGGCGCTATTTGCGGTGCCAAGGAGAACCGTGAGTTGGTTGTTTTTGGAGAAAGCCCTGCTCTTGTCAAGGTCAGTGACTTACCCCAGATCGAGAACGCCCAGCACCACCTCGACGCCGACCACCATTGCCAGCAGAGGCGCTGCTGGCTCGGGCGTCGGGAGCAGATTGCATTGTGCTAGGTTGAACTTGCGATGCAAGAAAGACTCAGACCGCCAAAGTGACGTGATTGCACACAGCTGGCCGTCAAAGTTGCCCCCGCTTGCCAAGTGATCACCGTATTTCCCCCACCCACGAAAACCCTGTGACCGCCGGGCATCACGAGTCAAAAATCCGCAAGCAACCATGAGTTCAAGTCTCCGGTCGCCCAACGAACACGGCACAGCACAAGAACCACAAAGCCCCAACACCTCAACCCCAGACTGGTACAGCCACAACCACAGCCACAAACGCCACCAAGCCCATTGCCCACACAATCCACCACGAGCACCTCAAGCGACCCGCCGCTTCCCACACACCCCTGACCGCCTCGACTGCCATTGACAACCACTCACGATGACCCCACTGAACTGAACTGAACGTGAGAGAGAGAGAGAGAGAGAGAGAGAGAGAGAGAGAGAGAGAGAGAGAGAGAGAGAGAGAGAGAGAGAGAGAGAGAGAGAGAGAGAGAGAGAGAGAGAGAGAGAGAGAGAAAGAGAGAGGGAGGCATCAAGAGCACCACCAACGTGTGTGTGTGTTGTTGGGTAAAACAGCAAATAGTAAAGTGTGTCGTTGCTTACACTGGTGGTTAAAACAAGAAGAAGAAGAGATAAAGTCCGAGCGACTTGAGGCAGATATGGCAGGATTGGAATTCGTGGAGATGAGGGGGAGGGACACAAGACACACGAGGCACACACGGTCCACACGGTCCAAGTCCACAAGGTATACACGGTCCACAAGGTCCACAAGGTCTTCAAGGTACTCAAGGTATACAAGGTATACAAGGTATACAAGGTATACAAGGTATACAAGGTATACAAGTTACACAGTGGTCGACAAGAGGGTGAAGAATATCCCTGATCGTTTGATGCGTTGGGATGCCGTGTTCTCGGCGTTGTAATGTGCGATTGAACTTTGAATTGAGCGCTGCAGCATTTTGTGACAACGGACAAGTTCTTTCGGCACGGGAAGAGCAGAGGAATGAGATACTGGTTGGCAAACCCAGAACACCAAGTCTGGAAAGAAAACCAAAACTTCTTCCTGTCGATCCCTGTTCCCCACGAAAGAACAAAGTGTGGTGGGCTCTGAGCAAGTATACAAGAGCCTCGTGAGCGCCAGCCTAGGGCCTGCTGTCAGTCAAAGTGAAACGCGTGTGGGCACCGATCTTCGGGTGTTTGATTACCCAAAGCTTGCATGTGCTTCTCAAACGAGACTTCAAGCCTTGATGAGCTGCACCCCCGCCCGGCACGACCATTGAACAGTGCCCTCGCCGTCGCTAGTCTTGGCTTATTTTTGAAGCGACTGGCAACACATACCCTTCGACCTGGGCACTGCCCGGCCTCGTCCGGCTGTACGTACCGAAGAGACGGATAACCACGTGCACCAGCGGGGTTCGTGATCTACGGCACCATGAATGCGGGTGGCCCGTACCCCGTGTCCGTCAGGATTGGATCTGCTGGGTGTGAACGTAGATTTAAAACTGCCTGCCAATGGTGCCTTGGAATGAAAGGCAACCAAAAGGGTTTGGGCACCCAGTTGGTTCCGAGCTAGGGCGGAGCAAGCAACGTGGCGCACCCGTATGGGCTTGCCTGGCTGGCAGGCAGCTTCTTTGACGCATGACATGGGGCGGGAGTGAGGATGGTGCAAAGGACCGGATGCAGCACGATAGCGGGACCGTGCGCTTCTGTCGAGCATTCGGCCAGCGACGTATGCAGGCTGTTGGGCAAGGATGGTTTGAGTGCTGTGATCTACTGTTCTCCCCATCGCCCTCCCGACCTACCTACCTACTACCGCTGCGCCCACAACATGCATGCATGCATGCTCAGCAGCTGCACAAATTGTCAGATCACGTGTTGTCAGATAAATTGTCACAACTGCTTGCAAGCTTGGATTTGGCGACATCACCCAACACACACAGCGTGAGCCAGCCAAGCCATCTTGCTACACACACAACATGCACTTGGTCGCTTGTAAGCTTGTAAGGCCTTCTTCATGCCTTCTTCATCACCACAACAGACACACACCATTGCCGACTTTGTCACACTGATCTGGCACAACACAACACGGATCAACGTTCAAATCCCACACCTTCCACCTTTATTGTTGTGGTCCGAGTCATCATCACGTTTGTTGTTGATGTGATCAGTCCGCAGCTACCTGTCAAACCAAAACAACACAAAGCACTTGATATTCAACAATAAATAAAACAGAGTTTCTTAACAAAACTTCAACAAGTTGTTGAGTTGCATCATAAACTGGGAGATCTTGCTGCCCCCCGGCTCCTGCCCTGGTGTTTCCGGATCAGTGGCACGCCGCCGCACCGCTTGCTCGACTGGCATTTTTCGACTCGCTCCAACCCACTGAAACTGCCACCCGTCATCAGCATCATGTTGCGTCTTGTTTGCTGCTTGGCCGTTTTGGCCCTGGCTGCTGCCCAGATCCCGGCCCGTTGCGCCTCTCCGGCTCAGTGGTCTGGTAAGTTCATGGCACTCGATCCGTGTCGCACGCACGCACACAACACCTTGGTATTGTTTTTTCGCCTCTGTGGATCTCACCTTCACTTGCACACTCGATAGCCCAGGCCTTTGTCCGTGACTCGGAACGTGGGCAAACCGAGCTGATTGGGACCCGTTATTTCTACGACGCCGTCAACCAACGCAAGGCCCGCTTTGACCAGGTCGACGCCGATCGCAACACCAGCTATTTTATTGTCATTGAGCTGCACCAGGAGGGCACTGAATACATCTACGACATCCAGAGCCGCAGCTGCAAGAAGCAGGACCTCCGCCGTCCCTTCATCCCCCACTCTGTCGTTGACAACGCCACCTACCACGGTGACTATATCATTGGTTCCAGCGCCACCCCCGACTCTGGCGTCGAGATTGAAGTGTGGACCCACCGCTTCGAGTCTGAGCACGGCACCTTTGAGTGGACCGGCGAGTTCACCCGCAGCCACTGCTTTCCCGTGGAATCCCATGTCGAAGGCCGTGGCTTCTTCTTCGTCGAACAATTCATTGACATTGTCGTCGGTCTCCCCGACCCCAACGTCTTCATCCCCCCCGAGGAGTGCCAGTAAATCACTTGCCCAGTTGACGCTGGCTTGAATCGTTTTTATCACCTTCCTCTCTTTTGTGTTTTAGCAGTTTGTTGTCATTTCGCGCTCATCCAAGGCGCCGCTCGTGTGTAATACCTTGCTTCAAATCGACATGAACGTTTTTTTATTTTCTAACATCGGATGTAACATGTATTTGCCTACAATCGCATTGCCTGCAAGAACGGCCGACACATTTTATAATTATTTGACTTGTCGCGTAGGATTTTCTAAAGCAGCAGAACGGTATTGATGTAATTGGTCGCGACTTGTGAATTCACCCGCAGCATTGATCGGCAAACTTGAAGACTTGTAAACGCACGGTCAATAAGTGTCAAAGGGCGCATCAAAAGCGGGAGGTGCGCTCGGATTGCCAACCGAGCGAGGCTCACGCACTTCAACATGTACGTCATCCGGTTGATACTCGTCAGGCACAATCAACTCAACGTCGCACGAAGACAGGTACCCGTTTTGCCCGTTGCAAAAGCCCTGCCACTCGCCCGATTCATGTTGTGCAGTCACGTGCACAACATCTCCAGCCTCGTATGTGAGCCGACCCGGCTCATACGCGCTTGCCTGACGCGTCCGCAGAGCGCGGTAGGGTACAGGTGCCTCGGCTGCCACTCCAAAATGCAGATCAGGGTTGGGAATGCCATCCAAAATGCCGTAGGTGTCCTCCTCAAACTCAGCTTCAAAGATCGGCGCAGGCACGGGCCCACCCAGAACAACGGCATTGGGTGGGATGCCGTTTGCGGCCAAGCCGCTTGAGGCACTAGAGCCCGAACGACTATTTGCCTCTCCCGCCTACAGCAGAGTCCAGATGTAAAGAACAGAATAGGCAAGAGAAATAAAAAGTAAGTGTGAAGACCCGCTACCTGTCGACCTCTGGTTATGCAGCGCACACCACGAAAGCAAGCACGCACCACGCCGGGAGAGACGGGGGCTGGCGGCGGTGCTACGTGCTCGTGATCAAAGCTAACGGGCATGTGCGTGGCCGGATCCGTGCCAAGTTGTTCCGAATGCATGGGCACTTGCGCACTATAGCTCGTTGGCCGTCCGGTTGTATTAAGGCCCGGGTTCACAAACCCGTTCCCTTCCGCTCGCCCAGCCTGCCACACCCATCGCCGTCATCCATTACACAGCCAGCGCCAGCCATGAGCCTTACATCTTCAAATGATAGGATCCCCAACACCCTGTCAGCTCAGACAAGCATACGACACACACACCTTCTGCTTCCGCATGAACCGGCTGGAAATGCGACTCAGCGCTGCACGCGCCTTGGATTTTTGTGCAGGGTTGGATTTTCTGAGTTGGCCAAGACAAAAACCCACCCGCGCGCAAACATGAGAACTGCGTGAGCCTAAATGTACCCTTGTGCATGGTGTCGACCGAGCTGTGGCATTGGAAAACGGACTTGGACTGCGAAGTTTGCACAATGTCAGCCAGGGCTGGCTCCCGCTGCACACGAGCCGCAAACTCCTCGTTCTGCATCAAAGATGCGATCCGAATATCCTCCATTAAAATGGCGTTGCGCTTGTTCGTCTCGATCGTCTCCAGCAACTGTAGGTCAACCCAACCAAACAATAAGGAACGGTGAGTGCAACAGGGAGATTGACACACCCAAAGCATCAGTAATAATCCCTACAATCCGCTAACAAAGCGCAAGAGACAGGTCCGGGCACGAGCAGCTGTTTTCCTTTTCATTTGCTCTTCTTGTTCTTTGTCTTTTTGGTGTACATCACTCGCATTCATTTACCGTACCTGAGCAGCGTCGGGGGTGTCAAAATAATAAACGCCGCGAAAACGGCCTTGGCTCACAATCACGCGCAGCGTGTATTGCGACTCGGATGCCACTTGCTCAATCTCATCATATGCGATAATACCCAAATCGGGGCCCTCCTGCGTCAGTAACACGCGCATGTCCATCTCGGTGGTCTTCACAAAGCATTCTTGGGATGGCTCACTCAGGCGTGACAAGCCTACAGGTTATCGGTGCCACACCAGCAGAAAATCCGACTCGTGTGAGACTTGGTTCACTAAGACATGGTCGGTACTGCCAGGGAGGTGACCGTACCAAACTTTTCAATGTCTTGTGTTTCGTGAATTCTTACTGCAAAAATATAGTCGCCTGCATATGGTGGTATCTAAGTCGCAGAGAGGTGGTTGTCTCTGCATGAGGACACACGATGCAGCAAGCAAATATGAGGATACAGGACGTACGTCGGGCTCTCCCACTGGTCCGCTACTCGCAGCTGCATCCCATTGAGGGGGGGTGTAGCTCAGGCTGCAGTCCAACAGAGATGAAAAGCCCAAGAACAACCAACAAGGGCCACGTCGTGAGGAAGGCAAGCGAAGAACAAAGGGAAGACCGAGTGTGAGCAAGAAAGTGAGGCAAGAGAAAGAAAAAAAAAAAAAAAAAAAAAAAAAAAAAAAAAAGAAGAAGAAGAAGCGTAAAGAAACAAGAAACAAAGAGCCAGTCTGAAAGGTCGCACCTTTGAGCTCGAGTGTTGCGGCGACCTTCCTTAGCCGTGTAGGAAAAGGTCGGGCTGCTGATGGGGGGGTTCTGAGGCGGTGGCGGACGATGAGGCGAAGTGGAGGCCGGGCGATGATGGACAGAAGAATTGCGCATGCGACTCTGCATGCTGGCACTGATGCCGGGGACACTGGCATACTGATCGTCGCCATTGATGAGAAGCTCAGAGGCGGCACGCGGCACGTGCATGTTGAGGGGAGTAAGCCAGCCGTGCTGAGGTTGAAAATCAGACAAAAAATGGATCAAGCCTTCCAAGGTGTCGGCTTCAATGTCAAATATTTGGTAGCAGGTGTGGCCAGCGTAAATAATATGGTGCAAAATGTCATCGCGGTGGCACAAGCTCAAAACGAAAGCGCCCGGGACACTGGTGCTCCTGCGAACTAGGAAGAGACCATCGGCAGCGCCTTGCTGTTTAAGAAGGGCCTCGGCAACCTCACGCGAGATCTCACCGTGTAACCAGTCGTTGGCGGATCGGGGCTGCTGGCGGATTGTTTGGGCAGTGTCGGCTTGGCTTGCAGCCGAGTCTGGGGCGGGTTCATCGCTCATGGCCTTGGCCAGCAGAAAATCAACGGCGGTGTCGATGCTGCCTTTGCTCAAGCGCAGGGCCTCCTCCAGATCCGCACGAGGGGTGCGAGAGAACATGCCCTGTAGATGATCTAGGGCCTGACCAAAGGCGTCAGTACTGGTGGATGCGGCGGCCTCCACGTGGGCGTGTACTGTTTGGTGATCGAGTTGCATGTACTGGTCATCACTGTGATTGACAATGCTACCGTGAGAACGCTCGTGGCTAGCCGCAGGTGGCTGGGACGCTGCTTCTACGTTGTCCGAGGCGTCCGTCATGACATAGCCTGTATCAAGGGGGACCTGAACTTGATCGCTCTCCACGGTGACGTAAAGCTGCTGGTCGACCGCACGCATCAGATCTTCGACGGAAGGAGGGGGCAGGTTGGACCGTTGGCGTGAGGCAAACTGGGGGGTAGCAGGTGGCGATGTGGTTGCCGAGGCTGCTAGAGCAGGTGATGTTGTGAGCGTAGAGGACAGGAGTTTGGGCACGGCATATGTTGATTCGGTCAGGTGTGTTGCGGGGGGCTGGTCATTGGGCGTAGTTGCCGTTGGGTTTCGAGATCGGCTTTTGTCCACGAGGGTGAGTTTCATCGCCACGGCGTCTTTGATTTTCAGCAAGAGACGACGACGCAGAAGTTTTGAATTGAGGCCAAGTTCTTGGAGCATTTCATCGTCGAGCTCCATGAGCAGCTGCCCATCGACTCGGTTTTTCAAGAAGGCAGGTTTTAGTGCCTGTAGCTCGATGCTTTGCAACCATTGACCCACCTGTTCAGGGGTCCATTTTGGAATGGCCGTCATGACGGCAATTGACCGATGCAACGGTAATGAGGGTCAAGTGACAGGCCCACTTCTGATCAATGTGCGTCAGATGCTTTGGGGAGAGCCGTCCTGCAAAAAGCACTGGACCCGTGGCAGCGCAGGGATGTAAAATGATAATCCGGGATGCTTTTGTTTTTATTTCTGCTTGTTTTTTTTTTCTTTGGTAAACCTGGCTTCCGCAGCAGGCGCGGGCCCTGCAAGGTATGCTGCCCTAGCGCCAATTCAAAGTCGTGGCAGTGCAAGAACCACAGCTACCAATTGCAAGAGTAGTAGCACACGAGCACGCTCGGAACGGATCAGATGAATGCGCCTCGGCTGAGAAGAACTTGATGAAAAATGCCGGTGTCTGCGGCTCTGGCGTCAATCGGCTGACGCACGGTTCCTATCCCAAGCCCACCGAATCCCGTGAATGACACAAACAAATCAACTCAAGCAAAGCAACCCACTGACGGGGGCGCACGGCAAGCCACCGCCAACTCTCATAAACGCTTGACACACACACCCAAAGCACTCAAAAAAGTAGTAAAAAAAGAAAGGCAGGCGAGGTCCACAAGACCTGCTGCCGCCATCAGCACTGCGAGTGTCAATGCCCGTACCTCCTTGTAGCAGGCTAGCACTTTGTGACGCCTGACTGCCATCCGTCGTCAGCGAGCGTTGAGAGCAAAATGAAGGACCAGCCAGTGAGTCAAAGGCAGGCAGAGAGGCGGACCAAAGCGAAACGTAAAAGCAGAGATAGAGGCAGGCGGTCACACTCTAACGAGCAGATACAAGGGCAAAAGAGAGAGCCGCAGAGAGTGCGTCAAACCCTTGCCCCTACCCGAGAGATGTACACGCCTGAAATCAAACACTACAGCAACGCAAGCAAAAGAGGCAAAAGAAACAAAAGTAAAGGGGGCACACACATAACAAGCAGAAAACACACACAAGTGCTGAGTACATGTAGCTGACTTCAAGCCTCAAGTGCAACTGTTGTCACACTTGATCTGCTCAAAGGTGCACACGAATCGTTGAGCCGTTCGAGTCTCCATGGAGACTCGAGCAGATTCAACAGACACCAAAGCATCTTGCGTGCATGAAGGCATGCGCGCGCGATCAGCGAAGATGTGTCCGCGCAAGTGTCGGGATGGAATGCCTGGCGCGCTTCTCGGTCAACCAATGCCGCAAGCCAAAGCAATGAAGACGGACGGGAAAAAAGGCTGACCGCACTTGGCCTTGCGTTGGCCTTTGCTTCTTGCTAGTTACGGGCTATCGTGTGTGCGTCTCTCGCTGTGTCCCACCTTTTGTCTTGACCGCCCGCTGCATCGCCCACCTCATTGGCGCCCCGTGGCATCATCCTCGGGCGACCTCAAGGTCGTCATTATCCCCATCTTGGCGCTTCACAAACGTCGCCGCCCGTTTACCTCGAGCCAGCCCGTTGCTGGCACCGACACTCTGTTCGTCGACCTGCTGGACAGTGCGGGTATCTTGTCGGTTGGGCGTGATAGTCACGCTCGAATCACCGTCGGCCCTGCTCAAGCGCGGCAGTGTTGTGCATGCGAACCGCCTCGGCATTGAGCACGCAGCTTCATGCATCTCGCACGATCACCATCATCATATCAAATGCTGCAATCTCAGCCCACCTCGATCGGCAGTGGCCCCGCCGCTGGGCCGCGCCTGACGCCTCTCCATGACGTCAATGCCAAGATTGCTCGCGCCAATAAGATGGCCTCAGCCCCCAGCTTTTGGAAGGTTCGACACTCCGCGACTGTTCTTCTCTTTGGCCTCTTGGCCGCCTCTTGGCCCGTGTGTGTTTGTCCGTCTGCCTGGTGGTCTCCCTGTCCAAATGGCTGGACGGGTCATTCGCTCCACTCATTCCCTCTGCATACATAGGTCAACAAGTACAAACGTGTGGTCAAGCGCGTGGAGGATGGCGCCACATTGCTTGATGATCTCAAAGCTCTCGTTCATGAAAGGTCAGCCCCAGCCCCTTGCACTTCCAGCTGGCACTACCCTTGTCAGCTGCCCCCACCCCTTTTCCTCCGCGGGCTCGCTCATCCTCCTGGCGATCTCAGAGCGCAGATTGAGCGCAAGTATGCACAGATGCTGGCGGCCTTTGCCAAGCGATGGGAGGACAAGATTCAGCGCGGACCAGAAGAAGAAGAAGGCACGCTCCGCCCCGCGTGGCTGGGACTTTTATCAGAAGCCACCCAGCTCAGCGAGACCCACGACAAGAACGACGAACGCCTCCGCACAGAGGTGGCAGACCATATTGCCGACTGGAAAAAGGCCAACTACAAAAAGCATATGCGGACCCACAAAGTCACCAAGGCATGTTGCTCTGGGCGGCATGATCCAGCGTCAAGCGTGGGCGGTCTTCTCACCTGGCACCTTGTCCTGAATTTTTATAGACGGCAAACGACCAATTCGTCAAAGCCCAAAAGCCTTGGGCAAAGCTGTTGCGGGAGATGAAGCGGTCGCGGAAAGCATATTACGCTAGCTGTGAGGCTCTCACAGCCGCGGAAGACAAGGCTCGCGGTCTGCGTCGGGAGGGTGCCGCCAGCGAAGACATTGCCAAGGCTGAAGCCAAGGTGGCCAAGCTGACCCAACTCAAGGCAGACAACCGAGCTCAGTATCAAAACAACGTGACTGCGTTGGCTGGTGACCAGCAGCGCTATGAAACGACCATGTCCAAGGCTTTTGAATTTTGTCAGGACCTCGAACAGCGCCGTCAGGACGCCTTTAAGGGCTTCATGAACACATACGGGCGTATTCTGGCCGGGCACACACCCGCACAGTGTGAACCCCTTTTGCGCGACGTGCAAGCGGTCAACCCAGACGCCGACCTACTAGCCTACCACAAAGATAAGGGCTCAGGCATGCCCTTTCCCCGCCCCGTCTTTGAGGACTACGGGGCCAAGCCCACGATCGAGTTGGTTGTCAACAAAGTGGAGGACCGCAACTCGGTGCCCTTGGCTATGAAGCTTGTGGACCTGCCCAGCAAGCAGTGCTCGCGCAAGAGCCGACGGGACAATGCGTCGTTTGGCTCGGACGAGGAGGAGGAAGAAGAAGATGAGGAGGAGGAGGAGGAGCGCGATTGGCAAGATGACACGCAATGGGAGGCGCCACCGGCCGCGGCGGCTGAGGAGCCGATTTTGCCCAAGATGCGCGCTCTTTATGCCTATCAGGCCGAAGATGAGGAGGAATTGTCCCTGAAACCTGGTGACATTATCGCTCAGGTCGAGGATGAGGATGAGCAAGGGTGGTGCAAAGGCGTACATCTGGGCTCGGGTAAGACGGGCATCTACCCAGCTCTTTATGTAGAGCCGCTGCCTGAAGGCGCTGATGACGGCGACTACTTGGAGATGGTTGGGACGGGGGTTGATGGCTTGTCCTCAACCAACGTGGATCCCGAGGAGTCGCGGCGGCGCCGTCTCAAGCTTTATGACAACTACGAAAACGGCACCGCCGTGAGCCCTGAGGCTCCAATGGTGCCCGATGCAGTCGCCTAGAGGCGCCAAGCACATTGCGACTAGCGTGAGACTTGTTCGCGTCGTCATGGCGCTGCTGGCTTGCAGAAGTGTACTGTAGTATCTATCGAGTCTTGACTGATCACGCGCCACCCCATCGTTTTCTTTACTTTTTATTTCGCTGTGTCTGGCGCTCAAGGCGCGTGTGTTGTGGAGACATCGTCCAGCCACCCAAAACAATTTACTTGATCTGAATGCACCTCACCCCTCGCCCAATCTGTCTGCTCCCTACGCAAGACCAGACAAACACCACTTCACGAACAAACGAAAAGCAAAACAAAAAAAAAAAAAAAACGAAGCAGGCCAACAGCACCATGTATTCCCATCTGGTCACCCACGATAGTACTAGCATGGCCCAACATGGCTTAACTGCGGCGATCGGACGAGAGCCGGTGTATTCCATGTGGTATGACCGTTGGCGATAGTGCCTCCCGTAAAACAACTTAAAAAGGAGGAACAGGTTTGATCACCTTGAAGTACTGTCCCAGGTCCGGGGACTGGCTCTGAGACAGTGGGAGCGGTGGCCAGTTGCACAAAGACAGACAAGGCAGCGACGGCAGCCACCCATTAGCAACAGAGACGAAACAACCCCTCCCCGACACGTTCACCTCCAACAGTCGTCGATCTGCACATGTCGTGATGGAAAAAGGAAAAAGGAAAAAAAAAAAAAGCTCGCTTTGCACATGTTAGAAAAGAAGTGAAGTGGTGTGTCTGCGTCAAATAAAAAAGTCGCGCGTCAAGGTGTGCCCCATGACGTATGACATAATAATGGTGTGTGTGTGTGTGTGTGTGTGTGTGTGTGTGTGTGTGTGTGTGTGTGTGTGTGTGTGTGTGTGTGTGTGTGTGTGTGTGTGTGACAACAAGAACTTGTACAACCTTGCTTGACATGTGTGTGGTGTGTGTAGGCGGCGCACTTTCTCTCGAGAGACGGACGGTGTTGGATTGGAACTCGACTGAGCTTTCAAGGAGGTGTGTTTGTCGTCGGGGGCGGGGTGGTTTGCTGTGTGCTGGTCTTGGTCTCGTGTTTGGTTGGCTGGTGGGCTGTGCTTTTTCTGTGCCCTGGCCATGTCTTGATTGACCTTTGACGTGCCCGCGGACTGATCCCTTGCTCGCTGCCGCTTTCTTCTTTCTTCAACAGTCGACCGATTGTCATGACGCGCTTTCAACAACGGACCTTTGGGGTCTTGGCCCTGGCCCTGCTTGGTCTTGGTTGGTTGGGCCCTGCCCACCCCTCGCATACCCTTGTTTCGCTCAAGCCAATGGGGTCTCGACCCAGCTTCGCTCTGCCTTCGGACTTGCTTCTTATACTGCTTGTCTCTGTTACCCTACCACCATTCGCTCCTCGATTCCAGGTACCTGGGTCGCTGCCGACACCATCGGCACGGAAACCGGTGCGCCACTCCCGCCACCGCACAAACCCGTCAGCCCACAGGCGCGAGAAGCGCTTTCTCATCCGCCGCTTGGCTTTTTTGTTCGTTGGGCCAGATCAATCTTATCAGGTAGACTGTGGCACAGCCAAGCTGCTGTGGACAGCGGGTTGCAATGAGCTGGGCGGCAACATGTCCCTCTCCGCCACCTGCGACGTACGTCATGTCATGCTTCCTACATCTTTGCAGGTGTTTACAGGCCCACAGCATCGTTGGCAAAGTCCGCGACTGCAACTGTTGAGCTCTCTCGCTTCTTTGGCTCGTCTTGCTCACATGCCCTTCCCCGCATGTCCTGGCGCTGGCCGATGATAGAATGATCTCCATCTTTTTTCCCAGCCTGCCTGCAACTCCACCGTGTCTATGGCCGTGAATCCCGCCACAATCTGCTCCCAGTTTGGTGGTGGCCAATCCGGCAACGACTCCCCTAGCACAAGTTGTTCAGCAGCTGGTAAGCAGCGGGGGGGGTTTTTTTTCGGCCCATCTTTTGACTGCCGTCCGTCCCCTTGATCCTAACCTCTGAAACCCGTTTCTCCGCGCTTTCTTTCGTCCATAAACTGCGACACACCACAGGTGCTCACACTTTGGGTGCCAATCAAGTTGCCTTCACCTTCTTCGCTCAAGATTGCACTGCTATGTACCACCAGCTTCTCTTGGATGTGGATGCGTGCTTCTCCGCTGGACCAGGCTCCGCCATCAAGGTCGTTGGCTGCTCAGAGGGGGTAAGGACTATGTTTTGGTGACAGGAGAATGTGGTTTACAAGCGCAATGCTCAAGCTCAGAGAGATACCTTCGCGCCCCCTTGACCAAGCGCCTTTGATCTGATGTGAATGCTGCCGGCTCCACTAGGTTCTTTTCTATGATCTCTTTGAGAGCACGACATGCGAAACGAGCGGTGGCTCAGTGCGACAAAGCGCAATGATCGGAACCGATCAATGCCTCGGCGCAGATGCCCTCCCAGGTCTTTTGGATGATTCCCTCAGCGCCACCGTCCAATGTGGCTCCAATATCGAACCACGTATGTAGCCTCTGTTTAACATCTCACTGTCAAGTTTGGTCTTGCATATGAGCGAACCGTGTGGGGCTGCTCCTCTCATTTCCCCTGCTCGCATTCTGTTGATGCACTTTGTTGCAGCAACAACGGTCGAACCAAACACCGTTTCCCCGTCAGGCAATGGCAGTGCCGTCGCCAACGGTACTTTGCGCGCGCTATACATGCATGCCAATGTCCTGTTTCTTTTCTTCTTTTCTTCTTTTCTTCTTTTCTGTTGAGGGGAGGGGGTTGTTTTGGGAGTGGTGGTTTTTATTTATCACCATTACCACCTGTCATGGTGGCTTTTTTCAGCTTGTACGGCGCTCGTCCCTTCGTCCCTCCGTCCTCTTACTTTGTGTGTGCCCTCGGAATTTTCAGGTTACGCCGTCTTTGTCTTTTTCGATGGAAATGCCAGCACCTCCGGAAACTCATCTTACGACACCGATTGCACACAGCACAGTGACTGTCCCGAGAACGAGTACTGTGATGTCGATGGACGCTGCTTCCTCTGTCAAGATTGCTACGATTACGAAGACGCTCGCAACGGCTCTTGCAGTCAGATTTGCCCGCTGTCTTGCAATGTGTCCAACGATTGCCCTTCCAATGCTTGGTGCACCGTTGCTAACACTTGTGAGAGCTGCCTGGCTACGACCTGCATCGATGAGCAAGAAGCCACCAACTCATGCGACAGCAGGTGCATGGCAAACGATGACCCTGGTGTGCCTCCCCAATGTGGCATTGATTACACTTGCCCGGAAAACTCTGTCTGCGACAACGGCCAGAGTTGCCTCGAATGCCAGTTTTGTTTTTTTGCCTCAGACCCCAACATCGACTGCTATGCTGAGTGTGGCCTTACATGCAGCACCTCTGACTCTTGCCCATACGGACGCTTCTGTGGCAATGAGGCCTGCCTCAACTGTTCCCAGTGCACCGACTACCTGCAATCCCACCCCGACAGTGATTGCGCATCAAACTGCCCTACGAGCGACACATCCTGTCAGACAAACAGCGATTGTGCTGCTTCACCCAACCAGTACTGCAACATGTATGGTCTCTGCGACAATTGCACCCTATGCTGGTTATATGGCGATGCCATGGTCAATTGCAACGGCTGCGACCCAGTCTCATGCCAATCAAAACACGACTGCAGCGGTGGCTTTTGCGACGCCAGCTCCGTTTGCCAGACGTGTCCCGATGACTGCAACACCCTTGCTACGCAAGGGGACAGAGATCAATGCACCGTGGACTGCACCCCAATCACTGAAGCCCCCCGCTGCACCACCAGTGATCAATGCGCACAAGACTCATACTGTGATGCCACCGGCTCCTGCAGTACCTGTAGTAATTGCTTCTTCCTCAGCCCCTATGATGAGTCGGAGGAATGTGCCGAGGTGTGCCAGGTCAATTGCTCACAAACTGTCAGTCACTACGAGTGCGCTTACGCCAGTTTTTGCAGCCCTGAGGATCACAAGTGTGAATCGTGCTGGACCTGCACTGGCCAACTGGATGAGTGGAATACGTCCTGCACCGATGTGTGCCCATTCAATGCCAACTCGAGTAATATCAACCTTTTCGATAGCTGCGCTACCAGTAGCCAGTGTGGCGGCCCTGATGATGACTATTTCTGTACTCTCTCCAACTTTTGCGATCTTTGCAGTAGCTGTGATAACAGCGTTACCTATGGCAGGCCGGCAGGCAAGAACGTGCGCTGCCAGGATGTCTGTGCCCCAAACTGTGCCAGTGACAACGATTGTATGCCAGGCCAGACTTGCAATGATGGCTGGTGCGCCTATCCCGCGTACTCCACCGTGAGCACCACCTCATTCCCAAGCCAGCCCACGTCACCATGGCCCTGGAGCACGGACATCCCACCCTCCAACAGTGCCATTGGCGACGACGATGACTACGCTCCCCTCCCATGCGACCCTGCCCAGTACTCTCATATCGCGGCCTTTGCCATTAACCAATGCGTGGCAAGCGAAGAAGGCTCCTTCAAGATCTCCTGTTCACAGGTGAGCTACCGTTCATCTTTTCGGTAGTGCAAGAACAAGACCAGGATCCGTGTGTTTTGAGTTGGGATCTTTTTCTTAAGCGCCTCTTGATTAACTTGTTTGGGGAAAAATAGACCAGCTTGACCATGGAGTTTTTCACCGACACCATGTGTCAGTCCGCCAGCAATACCGAAGATCTCAGCTTCACAGAGTGCTTCAGCAACTTCCGTGTCGAGGCTTGTGTTGGTAAGGTTGTGGCCACCTGAAACCACCATCACTCGTTCTGGCAAAGCATATTCCCACTCTCTGGAACCCTTGTTTCGACTCGGGCAACCCTCACCGCCAATGTATAACCATCCCAGAGCAATTGACAGCATATGAACGGCAGTTCCTCTTGGAGCAAATGCCCTCATCGTGCAATGACGCCCCAGAAGAAGTGAGCATTGGCTACTTGAACGAGTGCTTGCCTTATCTCGACTCGGGGTACCTGAAGATTGAAGAGTGCACTGCAAATGTACGTCCTCTCACCCTCATGTCGCCAAATTGGCGTTTAAAATTGCTTGACACTCACGAGCGTTGCTTTTGCTGGCATCATAGGGTGAGGTGAAGGGCACTGCTTACAATGACCCTGCTTGTGTTGACGTCAACCACACGCTCTCGCTGCAAGATCGCCAGTGTTTTGCTAAGCAGGGAAAATACCTTCGTGCTCGCTGCGGAACGAGCAGCGGCGCCTATTCCACTGATGCACCGAACCCTTCTGTCATGAGCTCTTCAACCACTGTGACGCATGCATCGACCGCCTCTTCCACTGCCAGCCCCACCAACGGCGCCTCCTCCACTGCCAGCCCCACCAACGGCGCCTCTTCCACTGCTGGCCCCACCAACGGCGCTTCTTCCACTGTTGGTCCCACCAACGGCGCCTCTTCCACTGCTAGCCCCACCAACGGTGCCTCCTCCACTGCCAGCCCCACCAACGGCGCCTCTTCCACTGCTGGCCCCACCAACGGCGCTTCTTCCACTGCTGGCCCCACCAACGGCGCCTCTTCCACTGCTAGCCCCACCAACGGCGCCTCCTCCACTGCCAGCCCCACCATCGGCGCTTCTTCCACTGCGAGCCCCACCAACGGCGCTTCTTCCACTGCCAGCCCCACCAACGGCGCTTCTTCCACTGCTAGCCCCACCAACGCTGCCTCCTCCACTGCCAGCCCCACCAACGGCGCCTCTTCTACTGCTAGCCCCACCAACGGCGCCTCCTCCACTGCCGGTCCCACCACCGACAAGAGCGCAAGCACAGCACCCACGGTCATTCCACCACTGGACAACACAGAGACAGTCCAAGGAACAATCTCTTTTCAAGGGGCGCTCTCAGATGAGATCAACAATGGTTGGGGGTAAGAGTCCAATTTTTCAGGGAGCGTGATCATTGCGGTCTGCGCTCAAGCCTCATTCCTTTTTTGCCTTTTCCCAAACACAGCGAGCAAGCGGTGGTCAGCTTTTTGCGCACGCACGTTAGTCCACGCTTGTCATTGGCCCACCAGGACTACGTCAACACGTTGGTTGTCACGAGTCGCACGAGTGATTCGACTGGCGCCACCATGCAATTCAAGATCCAGGTATGTTCAATATCCAAATGTAATAAATGTTGTTGACTTACGCCAATTTTCAACAGTCTAGCCTCCCAACATACTGACTCGTGCACCCGTCCCCTGCTGGAATTGTCGGTATCTTCGTCTCAGGTTCCCCTCACAGCGGCAGATGATGTGACTGAAGTCTTCAATGAGGTATTTACTTTGGCTTGCGAGCTTCTGTGGTTTGGGCAACACTTGTGCTTTTGACTCATTTTAGGTGCTCTTTTAGATCTTCACCAACTTGAACGGTACCAACGGTTTGGTAGAGGCTTTGCGCACTGCAGGCCAGGTATGTCACCAAAAAAAAAGATCCAACTACTTGATTTACCTCTGTGCCTCCTCCTCATCCCGCTTTGTCTGCTTGCCGGTCACCCTTTAACGCCAGGCCCAAGGCATCCGCGCCATTGACACAAGCACCTGGTCTGCATCTGGCCTCTTGCAAGCCTCCAAGCTCAACACCACTTCCACGCAATCACCCGGCGGTACCGTCGCGGGCTCAAAGTATGTTTACCCACCCAGCTCACTTGCTTTTCTTGAATCCTTCAGCTCGCTGGCTCACTGATCTTCCCTTTCAACATCATAGGGGTTCTGGCAACAAGACCAGCAGCACCACCACAATCGCCGTTGTGGCCGTTGTCTGCGCTCTAGTGGTCATCGTAGCTGTGTTCGCTGGACTGCACTACGCGTATGTTCTTGTTGGAAAGATGCGAGGTCGGCGCGCCTCACTTGTGTGGTAAGGGACTGTAGTCGCTCACAATTTTCGTTTTTCTCCTCCAGGCGCAAGGCAGGTGCTCGAGATGCAGCTGCCAATCATCGTGAAGGCCCAATTTCCATGGTCAACCCAACCTATGATGGTGGTATGCAGCAAGCGACGGCACAGCAGGATCACCTCTACAGTGACGGTGACTACATGGAGCCTATGACCCATTTTGAAGCTTCAGAAGATTATGAAGCTTAAGTGTGAAGCTCAAGTGTGAACGTGCGATTTGGGCTTGCGGCTTCTTTTTGCATCTGTTCCCTCCCTCCGTGTTTGCGTGTGTGGGGAGTGCAAACCAGTGGTGTGCCAACTCACCTTCTTGACCGCCCACTTGCTCTTTCGTCCATCCGTCTTTCACATCTGCGTGTTGAGTGTCTTGGTTGTTTCATGTTGCTGTTGTTTTGCTTGGCTTTCGTGTCTGAGGCCAGGTTGGCTTGAATGTATGTCCTTGACCTTCTACCCGCCCTTGATCCTTGTGTATTTCCCCAGTTTGAGTGAAATGTGCTGTGATGTTGTGTTACGCGACCATCTGTGCGTGTGCGCGCCAGACCCATTGAGGCTTGGCAGCGCCCCGACAAAGTGACGAGATTTGTTTCACGTGTCAAAAACACCGTCATGGTGCAGCCTCGGCCATCTGAAGATTATGTTCGATTGTGGTGTTACTCACTCGCCGCACACACGGCTACAACAAGCGTTTGCTGTTGGTCGATAAGGGACAAGTTTAGTTGGCGTGTTACGAGCCCGACGCAACCTGGCTGTTCAAATTGCTCAAAGATCAAACCTGATCGATATTAGACACAAAACAGTGAGAAACAAACAGAGGACGAAAGGCGTTGGAATAAAATGCAACCAGACAAAAGTCTTGTTGCTCCTCAACAAAGGCTTCTGCGATGTGCAAACAATGACTCAGAGCAAGCCCCAACGGCACGCTTCGTCCAAAAACGTGCAGGTCTTGAAATATAAACCACTCCTAAAGCCACGGCCAGCGGGTATGGAATGGTATACAACGCACACGATCAAGACCATCGACATGGTGGTGACACATTCATTCAGTCTATGAAATGGGCCACGGCACCTGATGACAAAAGCAAAACAAACATTCAGAGAAAAGCCATTCTCCGAGACCACAACAGAGCTGGCTCACGCCCAAGTGTCCGCAAATGAGGGATCAGCAGGTGCACCATAAGAGCGTTGGTGCCCTGTGCCACGGAATGTGATGGCAGGCTCATATCCAGCGTCAGTGCTCGGATTAAGGCCTGTCCAAGCATCACCACCTTCAACCCATCCACCAGCATATTCCGAGATGCCTGAATCCATGTCGGAATCAGGCGCCACGCCTGGTCGAACTGAGGAAGGCGGTTGAAGAAATGGGCGACTAGTCACGTGACCAGTCTGAGAGGATGGTGGATTTTGACGTAACGACGGTTGCTCCTGAAAAGGTTGTTGGCCTTGGATCTTGGCCGCACTGGCCTCCTGTGGCGAGAGAAATTGCATGTGCTGTTGGAACGGTGAAATAACCTGCGGATGATGATGCGTTTGAGGACCCAAAGACCTCGTTGGAGGGTAACGTGGGTAGACGGCTTGTGCAACCGGATTGGAACGGGACTCGGACGAGGTATGGGAGCTAGACTGCTGTGTATACATGGCTGAGAACTGCATCTGAGGCTGGTACTGGCGCGATTGCATCGAGGCTGATCCCAACCGTGCCTCGCGCGGGCTCTGCGCAGTTGCTTGATTATGTCCCGTGTTGGTTGTCAGGGACCTCTTCAAGTGGTGGGGAAGGGACGGTACGCCTTGCAGTGTTTGCAATGATGCATTTTGCTGGTGGTGTGTCCACGGAGGCCGAGCACCGTGGAGCAGCGGTGCAAACTGGGCAGAGCCCATCCCGTCCAAATCTGGCGAGTGAGCCGAATGTCCCTCCCCTTGCGTCCACAGGAAAAGCCGAGACTGGC